GACAAGAATCCTCAGAAATTGATTACTTTTTGCATAACCTTGCGGATCAAGACTTTCAAGCAAAACAAGTCATGAACGAACTGACAGAAAATACATCTGATCACCATCCTATCCGTATGAGCATCAAATTCAAGTACAAAAATGCAGAAGTTGTTCATAAGCAAAACAACAGCAGTATAAAAAAGAAGGTCAACTGGGATAAGGTTGACAAATAATGGTACACTGTCCACATTGATACACATATTGACAGTCTCCAAATAAACGAAAATATGGAGGAAACAGCAGTAGAGGTAGCCATACTAAAATTGTGTGACCTACTTAGGGAAACAGCCGACCTCACCTCATCATCAAAGGCAATATTCAATGCCAAACCAAAAAATGAAAGTGTGGACACCAAAAATCCAAGTAGCACTAAAAACAGCGAGGAAAACATATAAAGTATGGAAAAATCATGGGAAACCCAACAACAAAAATAATAAAATGCTTATGGAGAAGAAGCAATCTTAAAAGGACTTCAGACGTGCAGTACGAATTGAACTAGCTAAACAAAAAAACAAGGAGAAGGACACTATCCTCGAAATAAGGACAAAAGAAGCGAAAAATTTTCATAAATTGGTAAGTAACAACAGGAAAAAAGGAAATGATGCGATTATGGAACTAGAAGTCAATGGGGGAAAAATATGTTGAGAACGATAATATTATCAATGGATTTCAAGAACATTTTCGCAGTCTGGCAATATTCAATGAGAAAACACGTATAGACAGCCTTTATCATAATTTAGTTGAAGACGATATTCAATCAATAAACAAGCTTGTACAACAAAATAACATCAAAAACGTAACATCTGAAGAAATAACAAAAGCTATTCGTTCTATAAACAAAGGAAAATCGGCACACTACCATGGTATAACAATAGAGCATATCATCTACGCAGGATCTGATATAGAGAAACTTCTCGTTCCGCTGGTACAATGCATATTCAAACATGGGAGCATATCAGAAATACTCCAAATGGGCCTTTTAACACCAGTTTTTAAATACGAGGGAACAAGGCAGCAAGCTATCAACTACAGAGGGATTATTGTGTTGCCAGTCATAGCAAAAGATTATAGAAACTATCATCAAAGACAGTATAAATGACAATATCCTGGAAACACAAAACAAAAAGCAAAGAGGTTTTACAGCAGGTTCATCGCCACTGAATTTAGCCTTACCAATAGAAGAAAGCTACAGAGAATCAAAAGACAACAATATAACTCTACCTTGTACTCCTGGATGCAAAAGCAGCATTTGACACAGTAATACATAGCCACATGCTTCGAAGGGTATTCTTGGCAGGGATTGATGATGGACATTGGGGACTAACTAAATACCTGCACGAAAACGCCAAAAGTGTAGTCAAATGGGAAGGAAATATATCTCAACCATTTCAAGTTAACCAAGAAGTCAGACAAGGAGGTATACTTAGCACTAGCCTGTATAAACTCTACATCAATCAACTTCTTAATATGTACGAAACAACTGGAGCTGGCTATAAAATAGGAAATATTAGTGTTAATAGTACAGCATGTGCAGACGATATCGCACTAATCAGTCAAGACCCTGATCAAGCACAAATACTCATTAGTATGGCTTATGACTATGCATATATGAAAGGCTACGAACTACAACCAACAAAAAGTGTAGTCCTGAACATCTCCCATAAACAGCGAAAACAGGAATCTAACAACCGGACCTTTAAAATGGGACCAAACGATATGCCATCAATTGAGAAAGCCCCACATCTAGGAATCATTAGAACTACATCACTCAAGGGCAACTGAACATGATAGCAAATGTGGAAGAAAATATTTAAAAAAGCAAAACGAAGTGCTTATATCCTGCTTGGAGAAGGATTCCATGACCACAACGGTCTTGACGTAGAGACAATGGTGTACCTGTACAAAATTTACATCTCTCCAGTACTACTATAAGGATTACAGCTAATACTACCAACAACAAGCTCACTAACACTTCTTGAAAACTTTCAGAAGAAACTTCTAAAGCAAATACTTTCTCTATCAACCTGTGTAGCAGACATAACTGTTAACATCCTAACAGGAATACTACCTATTGAGGCACAAGTACACATTCGAGCATTAGGCCTATTTAACAACATCTGCAACAGCCTGACGACAGTGTAGAAAAATCACTTGCAAAACGCCAACTTCTTATAAAAAACGAAGGAAGTTCTAGCTGGTTCATTGCTATTAAGCATATGCTACGAAAGTATGACCTGCAGGAGGCAAGCTGGTATTTGAACAACCCAGTTAAGAAGACTGTATGGACCTTAACTATCAAGAAGACAATATACAATCACTGGAATAGGTCAATAGTTCGGTTACAGCCATTATATAAAGGGATCAATTTCTTAACAACTGAAAATTTGAGCACCGGAAATATACACTCTATACTCAAAATCAACTGCCACTCTACTATTGACACAGCAAGATTGCCATTAAAATTAAAACTGCTTACAGGCTCGTATTTCCTTCAGAGCAAAAGGATCAGAATGCACAAAGATGAGACTGGTCCGAAATGTCTGTTATGTGCAAAGGAAGAAGAAAATATAGAACACTTTATTTTGAAATGTGAAAGCTTCACCCTTGAGAAAAGTGAGGAACGCCATTCTTCATAAATAACTACATCGCTGAACGCAATGGGAATTCAATTTGATGTACTATCAACGAACGAAAAACTACAACATATTCTGGACTTAACACCGGTATAGCGTGATTTTTATACACTGTATTCTTTCTGGTACTAGTCAGTGTACGTAGTACAAATAGAACGCCTTACTCGAAGCCTGCTATATCAACTTCATATAGCCCGTTACAAGATGGTATGTGGACAGTAATAAATCTATTTAGAAATGAAAATAAAATAAGCGATTCCGTTATCTCAACATCTATAAGGGCGTGATTGGGGGAACCACACAAATTTCTGGAATCAAGTGAACTTAACTGTAAAATAAAGGATTTTATGCAAAGTGTGTAGGGGTAGGACTTCACTGTAAATATGCGCACATCAGATATCGAATGTTGGAGAGAGTAACAGCACTGTTTATAGAGAGCACCCGAGCTGAGCATGTAAATATGGTTAGATGCCCAATGGTGGAAGGAGAAACAGCACTGTATATAAAGAGAGCACCTGTTCTATACATATGAAAATATAGTTCCTCTACAAAGGGGGTTTAAAGATAAGTTAGATTAGATTAGATTAGATTAGGTGATCTGTTGTTGTCTCTGGTAGAGTTTGTGGTGAGGCAAACATTGATCAACATTGGTATGATTAGAATTACACCAATCATATAAGATATCTTTTATAGCTTATACAATATCACGGGGGGGGGGGGGGGGGGAGGTCTCCAAATGGGATTTTGGGTACACATATGTCAAAATCTGGGGTAATTTGCTAATTTGCATAGCGGCCATTTTGCCTTATCATGACGGCAGCCATTACAATAGGATTATATAAGCCCTTTTAATACAAATGTCAATATGTAAATACCTATGTCGAAAGAACAATTTGTTCGCATATAGGTGAATTGTACATGTTTTTAGGCTTCATATGTATAGAACAGGTGCTCTCTTTATATACAGTGCTGTTTCTCCTTCCACCATTGGGCATCTAACCATATTTACATGCTCAGCTCGGGTGCTCTCTATAAACAGTGCTGTTACTCTCTCCAACATTCGATATCTGATGTGCGCATATTTACAGTGAAGTCCTACCCCTATGTTTTTAGAAGTTCTGTCCGTGTACAAATGGACATTGTCTACTCTGAAATCTTTCGGCCTTTTTAGTTTAAAAATCGGAAGCGTAACCATTGAGTAATTGCTATATAAGATTAAATAAAATGACGTAAAATCGTAAAATAGCAAGATTCAAAACAGAAATACACATGCAAGAAGATATTGTTCATGATTTGTTCGCATATAGGGAAACACCTTGTAGGTTGAATTTTAAAGGTAAATAACTTTTAACTTACCTGCTTTTCTTAAGTTTTCGGCCAAATTCTTTTAAAAACATGATGATTTCAACCTTCCCATTTCGTAAATAGTCAAATTTAAAGCATTTTCCCTAGGAATTACACACATTTTGTAAATATCCGCCAAAGGAAGTTTTTAAAGATACATTAGTTTTAGATACATGACGGAAAAGGACTGGATTATCCGCAAATCTATAATAAATTATATTTTCAATCTTAAGCTAAGGGAAGTAATTTGATCAAAAGGGACACAGTCACGTGGTGCAAATGATTTAAATAAAGTACCTTTGATTTTGCCATATGAGTTGTGCAGCAGGGATTTAAACCCCCCCCCCCTCCCCCCCCAATTCATATATTGAATAATTGTGAAATCCCTACCTATACATATATTTCACAGCGAAATCACAACCCATTCATATATTTATCAGCTCAAATAGTACCTTTATATGCATATACAATCTTATTATATATTAAGTTTCAGCAGATGTGGAAATTTTAATGACAAAGAGTTTGGGAAATTCAGTGAAGATCGTTGCACAACAAACTGAAAAATTATGACCCATTGATATATCACAATTCGTCAATTACTACCTATTGATATATTTCCTCGGTAAAATACTATTGTCAAAAATGGCAATTATCATTGAATATAGAAAAAACTCAAATAATAGTATTTAATAAATCAGGTGAACTATTGAAAGACTAATTTTTATTTTGAGCAAAATCTTATCAAAAGTGTTCCAAGAGTATAAATACCTAGGTATTGTAATGACAATCTCCGGCGCAGAAATCATATCCGTTCCGTTCAATACTTTGTAACACTACACTCAATATTGAGTTCCAATGAGGATAAACAGTTTTGTAGCCCTTCTTTGGTTTGAGACATTAAAATTAAAATTATTTTAAAGTATGCGACGCTGTTCGTTAAAAGAAAGAATTATTACTAAAACTAACATACAATTTGAATATGTCATGTGACCATCTTGTGTAGGTCACGTTTTAACATGAACAAGGAAATAAAATACTTCCCAACTAGGTGTGTGGTTCATCAATGCTCAAATGTAATCGGCATTATTTAAAAGGTAAGTGATACATGACCTTGATTCAAAGTGTATATTGTCATGTACAGTTCGGGTACATATTGGACAAACGATCTTTTCAAACTTATGGTTCATATCGACCCTTTGACTTCGTCTAAAATGGCAGCATTCGGCGTCACAGGAAAAAAATAAAATGGCCTTTCTAACTCGGTACATACACACCGGTGCATATGGAAAGGTTAAAAGCATAACCCAGATAATCATAATTCAAATATCCTAATGTTGTCAGAAATATCTATTGTCCCTCTATTGTTCATGTCAATTAATACAGTTCACTTCGATAATTACCTATTGAGGAAGTTCTCAAACATTTTCCCCAACTTTGTTTATTTTGGCATATTATATTAAAGAACGAAAAAAGTGCATAGCGAAATCTAATCCAGATTTTAATTTTCTGAAACATAAAATTAATTTGAAATCTATATATCTAGATTCTAGGTCATGCGGCATTGCCGTGCCTTTAAAAATTTTCCAGATGGAAAAGCTTTTCTGACGAAAAGTAGTAATTTGTGTGGTTTAAACATGGCAATTTTAGCTAAAGGGTCCACATGAACCTTATCCATGTTATCACGATCAACCATGCGGTACGGGACTTTCCTTGTTATTAATGTGGCGTGTTTACACACAGACAGAGGTAACTTAAATTTCTATACATGGACTTAGTATAAAAAACAAGTCAAGAAACTCAAAAACCGTTATATATGCAATTTGCAACTAGAAATTCAAATGTCTTTATGTGATTGGTTAATATTTTACATAGAAACCTAAAACGAAAATCATAAATGTTTAAAGGGAGAAGATGTTTTTTGATGTCTTCAAAAGGAAAGGGAGAAGAATACTTGTTGCTGCTTCACATTTCTACTCAATTTAAGGCTTAAAATACATGTGTTTCCGCTAACGAAACTGACACTAATTTTAAGTGCTACCCGTATGTTGGGGTGGGGGGCCCACAAGTTGTTTTTCGTCATTTTTTTTTTAACAAGTACTATTAAAATCAAACTGTTTCCCTTTTATAACCAGTGAAAATACGTTTTGAGAAAAAAACTATTCGCCTACTTCAGTACCAATCCTAACTTTTTCCAGGATTTTAGAGGACACATGTATTTTGTTATTGGCCTTCTTAAATCTCGGGTCCCTTAGATATTTTTTTTCACATTTTCACATGCCAATTTCAGAGCCGATTTTAAACTGAAGTTTTGCAAGTCACAAATGCTTATTTTTTTATCACCAAATTTAAAAGCTAAAATATCAAGAATAAAAGTTAATTAGGCCTACAAAGAGGTGTTGTGTCAATTGTATTTCTCAATAAATACATGATTAAAAGAGAACTTGCCGAACGTCATTATACACTTATTCCATCAGATAAGTGAAAGTTTAAAAATGGGCTGTGATTTATTGATTGATCAAAGTCGGGTGACACATTTTTGTCGAGCCTTCGACTTTAGTCGAAAAAGCGAGACATAGCGATCCTACATTCCGTCGGCGTCGTCGTCGGCGGCGTCCACAAATATTCACTCTGTGGTTAAAGTTTTTGAAATTTTAATAACTTTCTTAAACTATCCTGGATTTCTACCAAACTTGGACAGAAGCTTGTTTATGATCATAAGATAATATCCAGAAGTAAATTTTGTAAAAATAAAATTCCATTTTTTCCGTATTTTACTTATAAATGGACTTAGTTTTTCTGCCGGGAAATATTACATTCACTCTGTGGTTAAAGTTTTTAAAATTTTAATAACTTTCTTAAACTAACCTGGGTTTCTACCAAACTTGGACAGAAGCTTGTTTATGATCATAAGAGTATCCAGAAGTAAATTTTGTAAAAAAAAAAAATCCATTTTTTCCTTATTTTACTTTTAAATGGACTTAGATTTTCTGCCAGGAAACAACACATTCACTCTGTGGTTAAAGTTTTTAAAATTTTAATAACTTTCTTATACTATTTTGGATTTGTACCAAACTTGGACAGAAGCTTGTTTATGATCAAAAGCTAGTATCTAGAAGGAAATTTTATAAAAAAATAAATCCATATTTTCCGTATTTTACTTTTAAAAGGACTTAGATTTTCTGCCAGGAAACAACACATTCACTCTGTGGTTAAAGTTTTTAAAATTTTAATAACTTTCTTATACTATTTTGGATTTGTACCAAACTTGGACAGAAGCTTGTTTATGATCAAAAGCTAGTTATCTAGAAGGAAATTTTGTAAAAAAATAATTCCATTTTTTCCGTATTTTACTTTTAAATGGACTTAGATTTTCTGCCAGGAAACAACACATTCACTCTGTGGTTAAAGTTTTTAAAATTTTAATAACTTTCTTATACTATTTTGGATTTGTACCAAACTTGGACAGAAACTTGTTTATGATCAAATGCTAGTATCTAGAAGGAAATTTTGTTTTCTTCCAGTTAACATTACATTCAGTCTGCAGTTAAAGTTTTTAAACATTTATTAGATTCATAAACTATCCTGGATTTTTACCAAACTTGGACAGAAGCTTCTTACAATCAAAAGATAGTATCAAGAGGAATATTTTTATTGATTAACTTCCTCATTTTTGTTGAGCCTGCGATCAACAGAAAAAGTAGGCGAGACACTGGGTTCCGCAGAACCCTTACGAATTTTTCATATCTAAAGTATGTTAATTTTATGTATAGATTCATGACCAGAACAATTAAGGAAACACACTTTGGGTTGCTTAGAAAAATAAGCAGACAAGGACAAGAGTGACGGAAATTTTGTAGACAGCTAAAATGAAAAATAAAAGGTCAAAAATTTGTCTTGCAACAATTAACCTACGAAAAGTAGGCGTGGTGTATACGTCAAGCAGACGCCAAACCAACCAAAAGTTATCTAGAGGCATCATCAGAAATGTGTGCTTACAATATGTTAAGCTCTAGATCCTTCATGGCCTATAAATATGTGAAAATTTAACAGAAATCTCCCATTAACATCAATTACGTATACGTATCGTCAAAGAGTTGTTCCAAGATGTCTTTGTCGTGTCAAAAGCGTAATTATCTACGCACTTGGCATAAAATTAAAACAGCACAATCAACAATTCTAAAAATAAGCAAAATCAATAGAACTACAATATAGATTGTAAGATAACCATAGCTTTAAATTAACAGTTTTTTAAAAACTTTGTTGACATTTTATTGTGTGTTTTTATCTCATTAGATCAACGAGCTATGGATTGGCTTTTGTTGCTTTCTATTGAAGTCAGAGTACCTTCTCTGATGTCCCATGTATTCTTTAAGCTTAAAACACTGGACACTTTTAATTTGCAAAACACTCATTTGCAAATCCGCCGCCGCCTCTCCTTAGAGCTACAGTGTCGTGTATATAACCATAATGTGCGGAATTACATGGGATTCAATAAATTCATTGCTTTTCTGCTGTCATTATTATATATATTTTTTTATTTGATTTAGAAAAACATGGGATTTTCAATATCCCATGGGATAAGGCAAATCCCATGGGATTGACCATTATCCCATGGGATTTTGGTTAAATCCCATAGGATTTTTTTGGGTCCCATGGGATAATTGTAGTCCCATGGGATATTTGTTGTCCCATGGGACAAAAAAAATCCCATGGGACTATAATTATCCCATGGGATTTTTAATATCCCATGGGACACATGGGATAAAATAAAATCCAATTAATCCTATGGGATTCAAATTATAAATATACAGTAGTGTGTATGTTACAATAAATTCTGTTTGGTAGTAAATTGTTTTAAGATGAATCTTTTTAGTCGAATATCTTTTTTTCCTTGGAAATGTTAATGCAATCATATTGTTCTATAATTGTTCAAAACTAAACTTTTAAACAACAAAGCAGATAATGTAAGTATCAATATATGTTTATTTATGAATTCTAGAATACTTTTTTGAAACACAATTTTTTCCCATTTGGAATCAATGAAAACTCTATTATTAGGCTTAACATACTAGTAGCTTTTTACATAAATCTAATTTTTTTTTCAGGATATCCCTCCATCCAAAAAATTAATAGTTTCTTATCATCCAGCATTGTGTGATCTTAATGTATAGTCCACTTTTTGGCCATTCAGCACAGAACATTGACATTATTGTGGTTTTAATATCTTTAGATATTTAATAGAACTTCGATTCATTGACTGAGTGATGAAAATAATAACTGGTCTGACATTTGTCTTTGAATTTATTCTGGTCTTGTTTCTGTGTTTTCTCCTTTTATTCTAAGTGATGAATTTCAATCCTTCTGAAAAAGAACCAATAAAATCCGAAGTTATGGATAATAAAAAATTGTTTGCATACATGTAGCAAGAACATATGATTTTCAATAAAAATAGCTATGCGGTATGGATTTTACTGATTGTTGAAGGTTGTCCAGTGTCATCAGTTGCTAACCTCCTACATCCTTTGGTCTCTGATGGAGAGTTGTCAAATTAGCAATATACAGCATCTTCCTATTCTAATATTATATAACAATCAATTTATGTATTCTTCTTTATAACATTTGGGTATTTTCCCCAGTTATATATATATATATATAGATCAATGTTAAAACTTTAGGCAATTACAATAACATTCCATTTTTCACAAGAATTTGCAATATATTATACAAAACGCCAACAATAGAAACAGCACTTCTTTAAGCTTCTGAAGTTCTGAAAGAGTTCCACTTGTGTTTTATTTCAATGAGAAAATACCTTGAACTCTTTTGACATGTTGGAAATTATAACATTGATACAAAAAATTATATTGTTTTTTTTTTCTTATTTTTGTGTTGTTCGGTTGCTGTCTCATTTTTATATATGGTTATACATATATCCTAAATCTTCTTTTTGTTAACACTTAATTATTAATAGTAAAAATGGGATATTTTTTATTTTGATAATCTCAATACATTATTATTCTATCAAATAACTTATTTCCAAGTTCACAAAACACCAATGTGTCAGATATTAATTTTAAGACGTGTATAAACATGA